CTGTAACTTGACCTCCATAGCACAAATACACTAAGCTTAAAATAATAAAATGTTTTTAAAATACTGGGGGAAAATTAGTTTCAATTATAAGAAAAATTATCTTTACTATTGTATTACAACCTTTCTATAAAAACTAATAATAATTTAAAAACTAATTCAGGCTAGGGGAGCTACATCAGATGGCTCACTGGCTAAGAGCACTTACTGCTCTTGCAGAGGCCCCAGGTCCAGTTCCCAGCATCCATGTCAAGTAACCCCCAACCACCTGGAACCCAAGTCCTTTTTTTGGCCTTCAAAGGCACCAGGCAGATGGCACTCATACATAAATGTAGACTCTGAACAATTTGCTCTAAAATATTACATACAAAAAACTCCCAATCTAGGGGAGGCAGTGTTTGATAATGACAAAAACAACAACAACAACAAAGGAACCTAGAAAAACAGAAAGGGATCTGTACCCACTGTACCTACTCTTCCTTCCATCATCTGTTGGGAGCCATTCAGTGGTAACTGCCCAACTCCAACAGCAAAAGCAGGTGAAATGTCCAGACAATTTTGTGACTGCTTTACTGGAGGGGCTGGGAAAAGGTGGGAAAAAAGAAAGAAAAAAAAAAAAAACCCGGAAGATTCCATACAAAATAGTGACCAAAAACATAGTCTATTAAATAGAACTCTGAAAAATTAGCTTCCCAATTCACCACACACTGAATAATGAAGCCACTGTAGTGAATAAGTTATTTCTACATGTAAGGAGACTACATAAAATAAATTTCATATACACACACATGAAGATTGTAGGAATTGTTAGGAACAAATATTCAGTGATGGCTTACACTTGGAATCTTAGCACTTAAGAAGCTGAGGCAGGAGGATGACTGGGACTCAGAGCAGCCTGGACTCCATAGCAAGTTCCTCTCCACCTCGGGATACAGGATAAGACCCTGTCTCCAAAACTGGGGGCTGGGGGTGGTATTTATGGGGCAGACTGTTCCCTCAACAACATCAGACAGATATGCTTCCCACATCTGTATGTATATATGTGTGTACATAAAATACAAACATAAACATGTATCTATTTTCCCCTTTCCAAATAGTAAAAAGGAGCTTTTTAAAAATTTAACTTTATTTTACATGCAATGATATGAAGGTATCAGTTCCCCAAAAACTGGAGTCACGTGGGTGCTGAGAATTGAACCTGGGTCCTCTGGAAGAACAGCCAGTATTCTTAACTGCTGAGTCATATTTCCAGCCCCAATAAAGAGAAGTTCTTAGAAAGACTTATGAGTTTGCCTATTCACGTATGTTTCTATTCCCCACTAAATACTATGACCGTAAACTTTAACAGAAACTAGTTTCCCCAAATAGTTGTTATCCAGTTTTCTTTTTTAAAAAGTAACAAATATCAAGCATTTGTTTTGCAATTTCTCTCTTAAAACTCACATGTTCAAGTGTTTTCAAGTTCAAACATTAAGCTACTCTTTGCAATAATATTAAACACATGCACAAATAAAATACTGTATTTTCATTTAAGCTGGCTTTTTGTGTAATTTAATACTAGATAGCTTCTCTACCTAAAATCCTTACAAGCCTTAAAGGAAATAAGGTATTTTTTCTCTTAAATTATATGTATGGTAGGTGTGCATGTGAGTGCAGGTGCCCAAGAAGGCCAAGGGCACTGGCTGTCCTGGAACTAGAGTTATGGGTTTCAGGTTCCTGGTGTAAGTGGTGGAAACAACCTGGGTCCTTTGCAAGAGCAGCATGTGCTCTAACCACTGTAAAATCTCTCCCCAGCCCCCAAGGAAGCCATTTCCTACACCTCCATTGCATACAACTGACGGATATAAACAAGACCTCTGTGCACTTCGTGGCTTAAAAAGTTGTATTAATTAATTAAAAAAAAAAATTTAAATCTTGGTCAAATTGAAAATCACTATTAGCTAGCGGTGGTGGTGCGCACCACTAATCCCAGCACTTAGGAGGCAGAAGCAGGCAGATGGATCTGTCAGTTCAAGGCCACGCTGGTTGGTCTACAGTGCAAGTTTCAGGACAGCCTCCAAAGTAATACAGAGAAACCCTGTCTTGAAAAAACCAAAACAGAGATGAGAAGGAGGGAGGGAGGGACGGATGGATGGACGGACGGACGGACGGACGACTATTAGTACTAGCAGAATTCTATACAGTTCTTACCTACTAGATCCAAACATTTCCCTTTTTATTTGATCTTAACTGACAAATATTATTAATTTCTTAGTTCACCAGAGTCCTGGAATTTAATTTTCTCAGTAGGTCCTAAAATGGTCCCAAACTACTTTCACTCCTATTTTTCTGCAAATACTTTTACTTTTTGTCCAACATTTTAAAAAGAGAATTTCAAAGCCTAAAATATTTTTGTTTCTAAATAAAAGAATCCATGTAAATTAGACATCAACACTACTAGCAAAAGGGTCATTTATTTTGCTCTGCTTATTACATTAGCAGATACCCACGCAGATGAGGACATAGTTACCTAAACTGCACTTTAGACTGACTAATGCCACAAGCCAAAAAATTAAAAGCAATATGCTTTTAAAAACTGATTTTAATGCATGTTTAAGAATGGCTTCCTCAAGGGGGCGTTGGGTGTCACAAGCCTTTAATCCCAGCACTAGGGAGGCAGAGGTAGGCGGACCTGTGTGAGTTTGAGGCCAGCTTGGTCTACAGAGGTCTTCCAGGACAGTCTCCAAAACAATACAGAGAAATTATGCCGGGGGGGGGGGGGGGGGGCTTTCTCTGTTTGTTTGGTATGTCAGCAAATTGCAAAAAAATTGCTTGGATTTCTCTGTTTAGTGTCCTACTAGAAACCTCTGTGGCTGGGTCTTTAGCTCAGCCTTGCCCAAGGCAAGAAGGTCTTCTCTGCCTGAATGTATGAGATGTAATGATAACACAATGCCACAACCTCTGGATCCCTCTTGCCTGACTTTGGTAGCAAAGTGAACATTTTTGTTTTAATTTCTGAACATATTAAATGAGTTCAAAATTCACTGGTCAGCTAGATTCTAGCAACATTTTTTGCCTATATTATACATAGGCAAATAAAATACTGTTTCCTAAATCAGAAGCAATTCAGAGCAGAAAAAAAAATTAATGAAGGAAAAAGAATTGTAATCTTTAACATACAGACAAGGTACAATAAACTTTAAAGTACTGTGTAGGTAAATTTGCCAGTCTTCTGTAGTTCGGAGGCCGTTAGTACACCTGAGTGAAACTGAGGCTCTATGAGCCTGCTCTGACCTAAGTGTCACTACTCTCCAGGCTTGTGCACTGCAGTGCTGTTTGTAAATAAAACAGTGTAGATAAAACCAGACTTCATTCATTCACATTCATTAAGGAACTATTCTGTGCCAATCACAGAAGGAAAGAGTACATGGACTCTTGTCCTCAAGAACTCTCCACCACAGGAAGGATTTTACTAAACTACCTGAAAGCAAGATGTTAATTCCAGCTACATGTATGCTGGAGTCTGTTCTGAGTGAATACATCCACTTATTTCTGAACCCTTTACCAAAAACAAGACACACACGTCCAAGGAATGAAACTTCCTCTAACAGTTACTCACGAATAAGTCACTATGGCCAAATCTACAAAAGAAAACCCTTCTCTGGCCAAGAGTTTGCACACACCTCCAATTTTAGCTGAAATGAATGCACAGTACAAAATGAACGGTCCATTATGGAAATGTTGACAGACCTATACCACCAGTGGATGCAATTACAACGCTGCATTTATTGAAAATTAATGAAGTCCTGGATTTTTATTTATAAAGTGGGTATTATTAGTTTCAGATTGGTTTCCGCACACCAATAATCCAAATTGAATAAGACGATGATGGTACAGATTGCACTGATCTTCACTCTTATCCATTGCTTGCAGCCTACGTGCATTTAAACCAAAAACATTTGATATACACTAACTATAAATTATTTCCTTGGCGATCTCTCAGGCATGAAGAAAAAGCCTTTTAAAATAAATTTAAAATATTATATGCTTGATGGTGTATAACCGAAGGTTTAATCTCACCACTAAAGGGGCAGTTACGATGATTTCGCAATAACCCTGCAGACAATAATCAAGACAGCTCCTGTTGTTCTCTCAGTAAAATCTTCGTAAACACAGCATGGATAGACTGTAATTTGATATCTGTAAGATCAACAGCCATACCTCATGACAACTCCTAATATAAGATTTTATTCACCATTAAATTGAGCGTTTTCCTCAGAAGCAATAGAATAGAAAGCACATTATTTACCAGGCAATGTTCTATTAACTATAGATTAGCACATCAAAATAGACATGCTTTCTTTCTCTCTAAAAAAAAGTACAGGCCATAAAGCAGGCTCTAAAATGCATATTAATAGCTTTTACAAACTTGGGAAAAATCTATCTATGCCCTATTTCCAATATTATTTTTTAAACAACTGATTCCAATTATTTTCTACTACAAACATTAAAAAATATCCACAAAACAAAGTTTAAAAAAGAATATCTTGGGAGGGAGAGGGAGGGAGGAAGGGAGGGAGGGAAGGAAGGAAGGAAGGAAGGAAGGAAGGAAGGAAGGAAGGAAGGAAGGAAGGAGGGAGAACTGGGATGGATATGTAAAATAAAAATAAAAAAATTAATTTTAAAAAAGTCTCAGTTTCTACTTCAAAATGAGATTAATATTATCCAATTTCTTTAAGTGAAAAGGAAGGATTAGAACCAACACAGATGGTGACAAAACTTTAGAAAATTGGCAAATGTGTAACTCTGAGAAGGGTTAAAGACAAGGTGAATTAGTATCAAAGGCATTCAAAATGGAGATCACTAGAATTCAATTACTGCTCTATCTCTTTCTCACATACATACATGCATACAAACACACACATGCACACACTCACGCATACCCCAGTGCACATCATTATTTAAATACAAGTAGGGAACTCCCTCCATATTTCAGAATTGTAATAAAAGCATCTTTCACTCACCAATGCTGGATTTTCTCTTGGCAGTTAGTGACCACCTGTCATGAAAACAGACAACTACTCATGAAAAAACAGGACTATATACAGAGATAGAAAATCACCATCAGAAAACTACACAGTGTCTTTACAGATTTACTAACACCTCTGTGTACATTTTTATTTGTCAAAGGAACAGAGATGGGGATGTTAGTTTTTAAGCAATGCACTTTATCATAGCCCTCTAACACAGGCTGATAACTGCAAAACAAATCACAGCTTTCCAATTCAGACTTTCATATAAAACCTGCTTCATAACTACTAAGTGACACACAATATAAGATAACTAGCATTTGTACAATCTACAGAACATTTTTAATGTTACATATTTCCTAAAATACAAATATTATAAATAACAAGAAATCAATGTAACACCCACATTTCAGGAAAAAAAAAAAAAACAGTAGCGAAAATATTTTATTTTGTCAGCATTATCTCTAAATGTTTCCACCTGTGATTTTTATTCTGATGTATTAAAAATGAATTCATTTTTCTACTGTTTTCAAGAAGAAATACTTGGGACAAAGGGATGTTCTGAACAGCTCATTCCCCTGACCAGTGAATTATGATAAAACAGTTTAAGTTGTTTATAATAATAAAAGAATGGAATCATGAATAAAAGTTATGCTCTCCTTTAAGAATTTGACTAGATTCAAAAATACTAAGAAAACACAAAAGAAATGCAATTAGGAAACTAACACTGTTAAGTGGAAATTTTTAATTTAATACTATTTTCACAAACTGCTAATCTAGAATACTACAGAACCATTTTAGAGATAGAGAAACTAAGACACAAAAGGTGAATTGCAGAGGCCACATGGGGAAGACAGCAGCATGACCTAGTTTCAGCTCCAGGTTCTCAGAGCCAATCTTATTTCTTGCATATGCAAAATGTTTTACCCCCAAAATCACATTTTTTTAAGAGTTGTCACTAAATTCCTCTATTCTAAAATTTAATTCCAAAAAAAAGTCATTTTGAACATTTTAAATGGTAAAGCAACAATCCTGAACCAAAATGCATGCTGTAATCATGCTCGGCCACACTGCCCATTAACTCAGCATAAAAAGTCCCTACCAAATGAAGATCTGCAGTTAAGTATCAATCACACAGCAACACTTAATAACAGTGGCAATATATAATAGAGTACTGACTTAACATCTGTAAGAGTCCACTAAAGCTACATTAGCCCACACCACTGTTTCTGGTTTGGCAATAATTATAAAAGACAAACAGAATTAAATATAGATTGAAAAAAGAAACATAAATCTTTGCAAAAAAAAATTATGAAGTTTCTATTTAAGAACCCCATCAAGATGAGACCCCAAAACAGGATGTTTCCAGTCCTAGCGGGAGTGTTTCCAAGCATGAAGTGAGCCAAAAGCACAGAAAGAAAAGCTCTGCAACCCGTAAGAGCAGAGTGTTCATTAACCTCTACATGATAATCCTTTCCTAGCTGCATATTAACTAGTTACATATTCATAATCATTTACATTATTTAAAGGACCTTCGGTGAAATTTTCTAGGCTATATCCATTAGTGATGGTGTTAAAGGTTATGAAAGATAGTCTACTTAATGTTTCCAGCAAGCCTTTTTAATTAGTAAATATGTAAATTTGGCACACACGCTTTTCATGTTTAAAAACAAGCCCTGGTAGCATGGCATGTGTTCTTGCCATCACCCACACAGTTCCTCTGCCTGGTTCTAGTCACGCTTCCACACTCCCTCCCATTTCCTTTCCTAAAATAGTCCCTCTAAGCAGATATTCAAAGACATACCAGCAACGAAACTACGTTTCATACTGTACAAGCGACATTCTCACTACCAAAATACTGTTCTACATGTATAGTCTTTGTGGGTTCCACATAGCTTTCAGAACACCAGACACACGGAACAAAAATACACAATAGAAGTAGGACCCTGGAAATCAAGTGTTCAAAGGAGGCAGATTGAAAATGCATGGAAGCCAAAAATATCACACACACACACACAGACAGACAGACAGACAGACAGACACACACATCATCATCATCATCAAAAAGTTATTTTTTCAGATGCTTTTAATTTAACTGCCAAGGGGGGAAAAAAAATCTAAACAAGTGAAAATCCAGATTCAAAGCTGAATGTACCTGAATTTTAAAAACTGACTTTTTTGTAAAGTTAACACCAAATTATCTAGTTTCTTCTGCCAGGGAACTCATGCTAATTTCTTAAAATATTAAGTGAATGACAGTAAGAGAGAGGTCTGATTCTATGTGCAAGTTTCCAAAACAAAACAACAAAAGGTGTTTCATCACTGTGCTGACCTCCACAAAAGGAAAGTCCCTATGGAAGAACTGATACCAACTTCGTTTTGTTTTTTTAAAATTAAGTGTTCAAACTTGCAAATATTATGCCTAAAAAGTTCCTATAATGTTTTTAAAAACAGTTACTTAGCAAGCTTGTACTACTAAAAATATTAAGCTAGGTAGTTCTTTAATATAGTAACTACACATTTATAAATATGTTCACACAGTAACACAGCAGTGATACCACATAAAGAAAAAGGACCCTTACCTAACCCACCATTGTTTAAACAAACTATCATTAACAACCAGGCGGATATATAATCATCTGTACATTTAGGTATAGACCTAAGATTTATAACAAGACTTCTTATGACAGTCCACTCAATCACTCCAATTACATAGGTCTTAACCTCTTTATAACAAAAAAGAAGCCTGCTTTCTGGGATGAAATAACTGGTCCCAGAAGTGGCCACATGAAATCAGTTTTAAATCTCAACTGTCTCGCCCCATGTGCATGATGTCTTGGACAAGCCTGCCTTCAGCCTGAGCAAGAGTAATGTGGGAAGAAAGGCTGCTGAATCTGCAGTCACTGCTGCCACTTCTCCATGTCCTTCTCAGCATAGCACTCACACGTTCTCTTACTAAAGATCAAAGCATGTCTGACAAATTGTATCCTATACAGGAAAAAAAAAGACAAAAAACAACAGCTTGTTTTCCTTAGAAATTGCTTTTTAAACATTTCTTTATAAAGGAATAAGGGGAGGGGGTTAACATGCAGCGAGCTCTACTGTACTTATTTATGTATTTATTTTGACAACAGACCACAAGGGGGCATCAACCCATTCGATCCGCAAGTACAGCACAAGCAGCAGAGCAAAGTTGGACTGATGCAGAGAACCTGAAAGATTATGTGCACTTCTAACCTGATCCTTTCCCTCAGAAAGGCTTCACTTCTCTTCTAGGACTATTTGCCCTACCTGCAACCTCAGATCCCTCCTGCACGGGTTACTGCACAGGTACCAAGAGCAGTGTGGGAGCAACTCTGTAGGCTGTCTAAATTCATTGGGTCAGCTTCTCTTGCTGGACTGCAGCTTCCCATTAGGTTGTAAAACTGCTCAAAGTTCTCACTGCACTGAAGCCAGGGGATGTGAGGAAAGCATGGTCACCTGAGAGCTTCCTAAAGGATGAAAGAACCTTCTCTAAAATGGCAGACTGTCTACTATTACCACAAGCCAAAAATTTCAGAATTGGTGTGTTTTAGAACATGCAGACTTTACGTGGCAGAACATTTGCCTAGCATGAATGGGGCCCAAGATGCAATCTCCAATCCAACAATGGGGGCACACACACCTGTAATTCAGGACTGGGGAGTAAGAGAAAATCAGAAATTCAGCTATAACTAGTATTTCAAACATAAGGCCCTGTCTCCAAATAAGAAAAGAATTTGATATATTTTAATACACAGTATACACACCCTGTTACAGAATGCCCCCTGTAAATATAACATTTGCAATGAAACCTGAGTATTACATGGCCCATTATGTCAATATGTGGCCATTTCACAGACCTACGATAACTCCATTCTCAGTGCTTTGCAGATTCCATGACTACAGAGGGGATGAACTTTACTTCTAAATCTGAGGGCTGCCTGGACAGCTTGCATGCCTATTATTTGACTAGGAATATCCATCATTGCCTGTCCATTTGCATACCTTCCTCTGGAAAACTACTGTTTCCACTAAAAAATAGGCCGTTACAGAACTTCTTTTGAGCATATACAGCCCCAGAATGGAGAAGGCCCATGCCTGCTGCTACCAAAACCAACTGACCCATTTCAGATGTGAGGACTCAGGTAATCAGAAGGGGTGAGATGCTCCCAACCAGGAGACACCTGAGACTGCTGGTAACAAAGTAGAAAGCAAGCAACACACACACACACACACACACACACACACACACACACACACACACACACACACACCACCCTTACTTCACACAATTTTTGCAGAAATTCCTTTCAAGTACAGTTTACAACTGACTTAAAGCCAAAATGGTGAAACTTGTCACACAGAATAGGATAAAACCATACTGTAACACTCAAAGGAAACAATGCATTAAACAGTGAATACAAATAGAAAAAAAAAAAAAAGAGGGGTGGCTTACTAGTAATATAAAAGCAAAATTAACGCAATCTGAGATGACATTCTGCATGTTAAGGTACACCACTGACAGGCAGACTGTAGGAAAACTAAGTTAGCCAAATAAGTTCAAAGCTCACTGAGAACTGGAAACACCAGGTAAATAAGAAAATCAAGTTTAAAGACAGCTAAGAGTTATCAAAGTAACAGAGAGGACCTAGGGATTGAGAGGGAACTGGAAAATGAGAGTTGATTTCCCACAATGTGGTTTAGGCAATTTTGTGCCTTGGCAAGAGTTGAGCATTGTGGCAGGTCCTGAAGAGACAACCACAGCTGGGACAGAAGCAGGCAAGAGAGGTTGACAATGCAAAGAAATCTGTGAAGACGTGAGCTAGTCTCCACCCAAGGATGCCTGTCAAATCCTGAAGCTAAAACACTAAAAAGCTAAACCAAACCTTTGAGAAGAAATGGAAATAAAACAGAAACTAAAGAGTTGAGAAGCTTCGAAAAAATGTGAACAAGCTAAACTCTCAGACAAAGTCCAAAAGGAACCAAACAGCACCCCAGTCACTACAGC